CCTCGAGCTCCTTTAAACTCAGTAAGAAGCTGGGAGACACCAAGCAAAAGGCACCTAAGAAGCCCGCGGTGAAGCCTAAGAAAACAGCTGCCAAGAAGCCTGCCAGGCCGCCAAGAAACCCCAGAAGGCTGTGGTGGCAAAAAAGAGCCTCAAAAGCTAAGAAACCAGCAGCTTCTCCCGTCAAGAAAGCTGCCAAGAGTCCGAAGAAAGTGAAAGCCACCAAGCCAAAAAGGCAGCTAAGAGCCCAGCTAAAGCCAAAGTGGTGAAGCCCAAAGCAGCCAAGCCCAAACCAACAAAACCCAAACCAGTGAAGGCCAAGAAAGCCGTGCCTAAGAAGCGAATTGGTTTGAAGACACTTGGCGCTGTGGGTCAGCTGGTCCTGTGCACTGTGGGTCAGCTGATCCTGGTGAATGGTGGGACAGCAGGCTCAGGGGATGGAGGGCCCAGGGGCAGTGTTATGGCCCAGGAGACAAACCTAGGTGGGAGGGGAGGGGCTGGACATGGTTCCCAGGCCCCATAACTAATGCCAGTCACCCTGCAAGCTGGTAGTGGGCACTGGGTCACAGGGAAGTGAGCTCAATGCTGACCAAGGTCTCCACCCTGAGGGAATCAGCTGGGCAGCCCAGAGCTCAGACTTTGGGGGGGATGGGGGGGAGAGAAGGGGAGGGATTAGAGACACACATTCCCCTCCCTGGACACATGACAGGACGGGACGGGAGTGAGACAGCAGGAGCAGGGGCAAGGGGAGTTTCCTCAATAGAGGGGTCACCTAGATGGAGTCCTCCCCCCCCCCCACTCAGCATAGACATTCTCTCGCAGGGTGCCCATAACTCAACACGTTTGGGTCGAGGAGCAGACGGCCTGGTCCACAAATGGAGCAGCACAAGAACCTGGGGTCAGTCAATGCCATTAACAGACAGCGGGTTTGAAAGCAAACAGGAAATATGTCACACAATGCACCGCCAGCTTGTGGAGCTCATCAGGGAATGTTGTGACGGGCAAAGCTATAAATAGGTTCTGGAAAAAACTGAGTAAGGACAGGGACCAGCAGTGGCTATCAGACAACGGGGCAGGGACACAACATGCTCCAGTGTCCCTAAAACTCTGACTGCCAGAAGCCGAGCATGGAAGACAGGGTTTGACCTCCCCAAAACTGCCCTGTTCTGTTCATTCCCCCATGTGTAAGTTCTAGCTGGCTGCAGGGTAGATGGGCCATGGGTCTAATCCAGAAGGGCAGCTGGCTCAGTGCGTGGGGGGTACAGGTGTGTGAGGACTTTCAGCAGGGCCGATGTCTGCATCACACCACTCGCAGAGCAGTGTGCAGCTGTGCATGATTGTCAGGAAGCAAGTGTGTGTCTCGGAACTGCAGGGCTGGAAATCAGAAGGAACCGCTTGTGACAGCTGACTCGGAAGAAAATGACCATGAACACTCATGGGTCAGCATCCTAGCCCAGTGCCTAAGATGGGGTGACAACCAGCTCCTTAGACAGCTATCTGCAGTGAGTGTCAGGGCTCAACGCCCTTGGAATTTCTATGCCTCATCAGTAACAATTTCCTCGCCCAAAAAGCCTTGCACCCCAAATAGGGCAAATCCTAGCAGGGTTGTGCCTGGAGACAGCAAATCGGGGTGACCGCTCCAGGCCCTGAGCATGGGAGTCCTCAGAAGTGATGGATCAGTTCCAGAAGTGTCTTTTTCTCACCTCTCGCTTCGGGGATTGTTCTGAATTCTAGTTTAGACCCGACTTGACAGAGGGCCCGATGATAGAATTAAAAAAATGCCATGGCTGCTTATGTACCAGTGATCACGATTTGATCCCATTGTGAATGGGTGAACAAATAAAGTTTACACCTGCAAGAGATGCACTTGCTGCTTTAAGCCCATTTCGTAGCTGACCTCAGCTGGGAGGAAGAATTATAATCAGGAAAAAATGCAACAAATTGTCCCAAAAGTCACAGCCCCAAACTCAAAAGAATGGAGCTGGTTTAGCAGGGCAGCTCAAAAATGTAACAAAATAACAACCAGGAGAAAGGGGAAATTAGCAATGACAAGGGTGCTAGACATTGTAGAACCTTGATAAGGGAAGCAAAGGTGCTCCAAGGCCAGCAGAGTTAAGGACAAGGGAAAATGTAAAAGCACACAAGGAACAAAACTGAATTGTGACACCAATATTGGTGAATGACAAAGGGAAATGGAGGAATTATCATCAGTAACAAGGCAGAAAAGCTTAATGATTTCTGTGTTGTATTTGGGAGAAAATGGCATCATAGCCATGTGATAGCTTAATTTAGCTTGATTCTAGTCAGAGTTTTGACAGACTCCTATGTGCCAAGCTCAGGGAAATGTGTTCTAGAGGAAATGACAAAAAGTCTCTGTCAAAGTTTGCAGTCAGACTGGGAGAGGCATCTTTAGTGGGATCCCACAGGGGTCAGGCTGGGGTATATTTGGTATCTTCATTAACAGCCCAGCTAACTGAGTGGAGCAACTCCTTATGAAATCTGCAGAAGCAGGGCGGGGTTGCGGAATGGGACCAAGATGACCTCGTCAAATAGCAGCATTGGTCCAAAATCCATCTGATTAAGCTCCATACAGACCAGTGCCCATGGGAAGGGAAACCAAACACTGACAAGGCAGGGGCTGGGGGGATTAGAGCGGATCCTGGGGCACATTTGTACCAAAACATGCAAATCAGGGTTGCTTCATCTGCTGGCTGTATTAACACTCTCTGCAAAGGGCAAGCAGGAAGACTTGGGTGATTTCAGGCCAGTTGGTCCAATGAGCGTGAGACAGTTCAGCAATCCAGGATTCAATTGATAAAGGCAGAATTCAAGTGCCACCGTGCTCTTTGTCTGCATGGAGGGGATAGGCCTGGCTGGCCAGGGTCACATTGCAGCTGTGACAGTCTTCAATGCCAGGCGGCCCTCAGACCTGGCCCCGCCCGTTTTGCATGTCTAACGAGTACTGTGTAACATGGACAGGGCCTATGTTCAGTGGCTGAAAAGCTGGCTCCTGGAGAAGCGTTTCAAGGGGGACCCGGCTCCCAGTCCTGGGCTAGTTACCAGCTACATTAGGAACCTGGCAAAGAACAGCTCATCCCCCTTCTCCCAAAAAAAGTTTGCAGATGACACAGGAATTAGGGAATGAATTCAGGCTGGCCTCCTGCATGGCACAGGGACCCTGGGCAGCCCGAGCCCTGGTGTGGCCACAGGCAGAGACCAAGGGGCCCCAGTGCCCAGGCCCCGGCAGGGAATAGGGTCAGTGAGATGTACCCAGAGAGATACTGAGTGAGCCAGCGTAACAGAGCAGTGTTCCTCAGCCAGCGGTGCATGGATCCCTAGGGGTACGCAAGAGGGCTGTGTCTAGACTGGCAAGTTTTTCCACAAAATCAGCTGCTTTTGTGGAAAAACTTGCCAGCTGTCTACACTGGCCGCTTGAATTTCCGCAAGAACACTGACTTCCTACTGTCTGAAATCAGTGCTTCTTGTGGAAATACTGTGCTGCTCCCGTTCGGGCAAAAGTTCTTTTGCACAAAGCTTTTGCGCAAAAGGGCCAGTGCAGTCAGCTCAGATTTGTTTTGCGCAAAAAAGCCCCGATCGCGAAAATGGCAATTGGGGCTTTTTTGCGCAAAAGCGCGTCTAGATTGGCCACCGATGCTTTTCCACAAAAAGTGCTTTTGCAGAAAAGCATCCTGCCAATCTAGATGCACTTTTCCAAAAATGCTTTTAACGGAAAACTTTTCCGTTAAAAGCATTTGCGGAAAATCATGCCAGTCTAGACGTAGCCGAGAAGTCTGGGGGGCACATCAACACAAGTGAAATTTGGAAAAAAAATTCCAGGATTGTGCCCTGCAAAGGGGATTGGGGAGAGGGCAGCGGCACGTGCCTGTCAAATTGAATGTTCAGAGCTGCACGCCCGGACGCTAACAGCTGCCCAGCGCTGGCAGGAAAAGCACGTGGCTGCAGCAGCTCCACTGAGACCCAAGGCTGTTCCAGGTTGGGGGAGAGAGGAAGGAGGAAAAAAAAAAATCACTCTCCTAGTTTGTTTCCTCCCTGGGGTACTCCAGCAGGGAGGGCAGCTGAGCCTGGAGATGTGCAGGACCTCCACCCACCAGCAGCTCAGTACAACACATCACCATGGCCCCTGCCCATGGCGCTGCAGAGAGAAGCTAAAAGACAGTGAAGTGGCATAATAAGCTTTGCTCCAAAGGACGCCCCCCCCACATCAGTGGCGTAGTGGGGGCGGGGCAGTTGCCATCGGGCGCCACGCTAAGGGGGGCACCGGGCTGAGGTGGGAGCGTACAGTCCCACGTAGCGAGCCCAGCGCTTAGAGGGCCACTTGCTCCCTGCAGTCAAGCCCCCAAGGCAGGGCCGGATGGCAAGAGCAGGCACTTCAAAAACAGGATTACCGTCTGTCCAGTGCCTGCTCTGGGGGAGGGGAGGGGGATCTGGCTCAGGGGGAGGGGTCAGTGGGAGGGGCAGGTGCATTGGGTTAGAGCTGGGTGGAGGGGGCTGGAGGTACTTTTTTTTTTAAAAGGGGTACTTCATAAAAAAAGGGTTGAGAAACACTGGGCTAGAGCATGAGTGCACGGGGAGGGGTCCAGGGGTGCTTGCACTTCCATCTTTCCTGCACCTCCTGCTCTTGCCTAGAGAACACAGCCCCAGGGCATGGACCCTCCCCTCAACTGACAAGAGGGTGCAAGCCCAGGCCACCCCCCACCTCTCCTCTTTGCAGCCAATCACCTTGCTCACTATGCACCAGCCCTCTTTGACATCACAATGGAGTGGGAATGGAGGGGGGGCAAGGCCAGCAGCAGGTGTGTCCCCCCCACCCCCC